AACTCCACTCCCCTCACACCAAATATCACTTAACTCATCAGGCAATGATATTTCAGGGTTTTGAGAAGCAAACTCAAGGCATTTTCCAGTTTCATCTCTCACCGGGTTACTTATAATATTTTTCCTTTCTAGATCAGAGTGACCAAACAGCAGAGGCATAAGCCTCTAAATTATCAACAGAAGCATTATTGGAGGACTTTGGTTGAAGGCCTTTGTATGCTTCAGCTGTTTCCGTTATATTCTGGTTCCTCTGCACTCTGGTTGAAGGCCTTTGAGAGGGAATTGGCCCCCATTTACCAGAGATGTTCTTCTGGAGGGAGGGGGAGGGATATTGTTACCAGCAGTATCATTTCTCACCTTCCTCAACTCCAGCATCTTCAGACAGTTCATGACTGGCTCATTTAAGGTCTCCATTTCACTATCAGTATCTCCAGCTTCAGTGGCAGTATTTGAACCAGAGCTATCAAAATCTCTCAGTAGGTCAGAGTAGTATGTTTTCTGGGCAGAAGTTGCAAGGCTGCCAATAGTGTCAGCAAAATCAGCTTCAACTTGAGGAGCATGTGTGTTCATCTCAGGCCCATCTAGAAGTTTGATAGCTTCAGCAAAGGGGAGGATGACAGCAGTCTCGCAGCTTTTTTTCTCCACATTGTCCTTAGGTTTTTTGCAAGGAGTATAGCAAGCTTCCACCAATGTAGGAGGATGAAAGGTGGCGCACTCCTTACCTTTACTAGCAGGTGGGTTTTCAGAGGTGCTAGCTCTGTTAGCTAGATCCAGTTCATCAAAACCATCTTCACCATCTTCCAAGCGGTCCTTGTCAGTATCACCCACATCAAGATCATTTTCCAAGCCATCCACATCTATATCAGTAGGTCCATTATCATCATTAGGATCATCGGCACCCACTTGTTCAAAACCTTCAACAGTGAAAGATAGAATGTATAGCTTTTTCCTCATTTCCATACTCCGTTCAAAAGGAATTTTCTCAGGACTCCTGCGCGCAATCTTGATTTCGACTTTCTCATAAAAGCTCTTCATCAGCCCATTCCAGTCCACATCTACCAGGATCCCAAAGCATGAGGCAATCTGAGAGAATACCTTCCACGTGCACCATTTTGACGACAGGCCTTCAACAACAACCCAAGCTTCAGTCAATTCAGAGAAAGGGTCTATTGCACCAGTCCATTTCTCAACAGAGACTGAAACACCAGTAATTGGTAGATTAAAGGCAGGGAATTCAATTAGTTCTTCAACATTCTTCCAAGGAGGGAATCTAACCAAGAACTTTTTCTCTAAGAGTGTTCTGACTTGCCATGGCCACTGTCTAAGCTTGCAGAAGATCTCAGAAAGATTTTTAATCAGATCTACCTGGTTGATCTCTCCTTTAACCACATGGACCTCACCATAGTTCCTGAAATTCAGCCAATTCGCTTCACGGCCCACAGGGTGCATCAATATGATAGAATCCTAAACCATGAGCAGAGCTGCCAAAAAAGGTTGCAACAGGGTGTGGCTGCGCCCAAGTTGAACAGTTGTTGACATTGTGCCCCTCTAGACCACAGATAAAGCAGATTTTCTTCTCTATGCAGTTAACATAATGCCTAGGTCCCCTCCACATGTGAAACATATCATGTCTCTGTATCTCTCGTCGAGGATCTGGGTGGGTGGTGCAGGTGGAGCAGGCGGAGCGGTCGGTGGAGGCATGGCCACGGGCGGCGGGGCTTGACGCGGCGCAGTAGGCTGGGGAGCAGTCCTCCCACTTGCTGCCGGAGGTGGACCCTGCGCACTCCCCTGCTGACGTCTACCGCACTGTATAAATTTTGTATGTGATTTATTTTTCTTATATATTTTGGAAAGTTTAAGGTGCTTGGACATGACTAACTTAATGGAGTGGTTATGCTTCCTTTGGTCAGATGTATACATGCGCATTCATTATACTCTCATGCCATCAAAAGTTGTAGGCTGGAATCCCCAGTAAAACCTTTCGCAAATGTGCTTGATACGAACCACCTACTGTACCTTTCATAATATACGTGGACTATCCGAGCTCAACCTTTATTTAGACTAATTCCTACATCACCACTCCAAATATCCATGTGAAATGTAGGTTCTGTTCTAGTGTAGCTAGGCACCACACATTTTATCCTATTCATCCATGAACAGTAGATTTGATTTTCTTCACGTGATTTACATTGAGTTAGAGGATACCCCGGACTTCCAACGTTGAGATTTTCTTCATGCGATTTGGACGGAGTTAGGCATGTACAATGATTGATAAGACAATCTTATCTTAAGCCTTGTATGCAATTTAGAGATGACAAAAAAATATTTATAATAGGGTTATCTCTTAGCCTTATCTTCAATAACTACTATTCCTAAAACATGGTGAGACATATTGTGCTAAGGACATGTACAATGATTGATAAGATAGTCCTATCTTAAGTCTTGCATGTAATTTAGAGATGACAGAGAAAAATGTATACAATGGATTATCTCTTAGCATATTTTTTTAATAACTAGCTATTTCTAAAAATATGGTGAGACATATTGTGCTAAGAGATCATCTTTTGTCTTCTCTTAAATAAGAGAAGACAAGCCTTTTCTTATGAATTTTCTCTTCTTCACCTCATCATTTATCTTAAATAACACTCCTAAGATAGTACTATTGTACATGCCCTTAGAGATCATCCCCTAAATGAGAGCGTTTTCTTATAATTTCTCTTTCCTCCCCCTCAACATTTATCCATGTGGCACTCTTAATATAACACCATTGTACATGTCCTTAAAGAATACACCTGGACTTGCAAAGTTGAGCGTGCCACTTAGGACGAGAGCCACCGTTGACAGGATAAGACTAGCATGTTTCGGGACACATTTCAGGGAATAATGAAGATGAAACAACCGAAACAAATAGATCACGAAAAGGAAAAGTCTAGGGTTTCCCTGCCTCCTCTCGGCGCCGCCGTCGGTCCGCCTCATCTCCGGTGGCCTTAGGGTCATGGCAGCGCGGTGGATCTCAGCCTTTGCTGGCGAGAGAGTTCTGTTTTTAGTTGTTTCTTCAGGTTTTGTTAGGGTTTGTGTCCTATTCGGGAAGATGAGATGTCGACAGCTCCCTGAAGATGATATAATGTTCTCTCCGTCTAGCGCCTCATCTCGATGATGTGTCTAGCATCATCGATAGGCGTGTAGAGATGTGTCTTCGATGAATCTATCCTTGGTGAATTTGCTCGAATTTGGTCATAGTTCATCTACGTTCATGTGTTTTCAGGTTGGATCTTTACGATCTATGCTACTCTTCATCCGCAGCGGTTGCTGTTCTGCTGCGCTGGTCCTGTGAGGTCTTAGCACGATGACTTCCCGACTGTCTACTACAACAAGTTTTGCCCGGCTCCAAGGATGAAGGGGCAATGACGTCAACGCGCCTTCGGCTCGCTTCAGTGCTTGTAATCATCGATACGTGGTCTCCGGATTTGGATTTAATTTTTATTATTTCTGGTGTCCATTGTACTACCATGATTGAAGATGAATAGATTGAAAGTTTTCTCGGAAAAAAACAACCGAAACAAATGATACAAGAATTCTACTTTGCTAAAGAGTTTTTTTTTCTACTTTGAAATAACTCGCCGCTTAATTTGTCTTGGTAGTAGACAATGTGAATTAGGAAGGAAAAGCTAGGAGGATTTGTGCTCTATGGGGACATCTACACCCTATATGGGAAAAAAACTAGTAATTCAACAAAAAGTCAAAAATTCCTGAAAATATTTTTGAAATAAACTTGACCTTCTATTATACTCATGAGAAAAAATCCACAAAAGGAAAAATATCCCTTTGACTTCTTTTCAAAAAAGACAATTTTTGGCTAAAATAGTGTGAATAGTGACATGTAATAGTAAATAAATTTTGTTTTTTTTGCTGTGAGGTCAACTTTTGTTTTTTTGTGAAAATCTATATACTAGTGCAAAAATAAGTCAAGTGTTTTGTCAAAATAGTTCTTACCTATTTTGACTTTTTAGTAAAATATTAAAAAAAAATCCCCATATAGGGTGCATATACAACCAGGAGCACAAGTGTATTTCCCGGAAAAGCTATTATTAAAAAACTTCAATACTCCATTTAGTAAATCAAACATATTGCAACACAAAGAATCTACAAGTCCACACATAGATCACTGACTGAATCTTGTTTGAAACTTCATAACATCGTTTGACCATTTCAGATAATAAATACAGTAACATGCATGTCATGACCTGAACGATTTTATTTCACCAAGAACAAACACATAGTAAAGTCTACAGATTATTTAAGCAAGAAACCTACAACTTTAAGGTATACAAAATGAACTCAAGAATTCTATCTAGAGGCAGTAACAAAGAGACCAAGTTACGAAACTAAATTGTTTAGATCTAGAGTATCTCATCACAATTCGAACTTCTATATTTGTATAGAGATGTAGATTAAACAAGAAAAACAACTATTTTCTGAGGAAAGGCCAACATAGGCGCTCGGCCTAGTCCTGGCTCCGCTCTTAGCAGTCTCACAAAATTGTACTCCCTCCGTAAAGAAATATAAGAGCATTTAGATCGGAGTACTTACTAAATAGCAATTCAATGGTCTGACAAAATTGTAAATAGCAATTTAATATTTTACTGTCGCCTTAGAAATTCAAAAGAAGCAAAGAATGAAATTCAAATATTTTAGTGTCAAGTACCCAAGAGTAAGTTCATTCTCAGGAAGTAGTCAACCAATTTGTTCTACATTCAGGACACACAGTTAGATCCCCTCTAAGGCTCTAAAGTGGAAACACCCTATAGCAGCCACTTACATAACTTTTCACTAGTAGTAGTATAAACAAAGAAGCCACGGGCATAAATCATACAACCCTAGATTGTGGAACTATATTAATATCCAATACCTCAACACTTTTTTGGCCATGAAAACACAACAGCTAATTTACCCTGCAATAACTGAAAAACACAACAAAAGGAAGAACTATACCAGATCTCCTAGTTCCCGTCCTCATGATCGTCATGCTGGTATGTAGCGCCACCGTTTGGTATAGCACCTGCTCCTTTCACACTGATGTCACTGAAAGGCCTCTTCCTTGAGGAAGACGATGGTTCAGAGGCATCCATTTCCATATCCTTCTGATCCTCCTCTACAGCCATGTTTGTCTGTTTCTCTTGAGGAGCACCGGATGTTGAAGCTGGAGGTGGCATCACATCAATTCCGCTGAGCCGGCAGAAGACTTTCTCAACTGTCTCGGTGATCTCTTTCCCTAGTCCACCATTGTCGAGTATCAGCTCCCAAACTGCCTTTGAGACTTTCTCAAGAACCGGAGTTCTGCATTCGAACAAATGAGTTAGCACTGCTTTACAGGTTAGATATATTATTTCTTCTGCTTCAGGCGACAATATAAAACAAAACTATCCAAGTTCTAAAAAAAACTCAAAACGCTGGTAAAGTACAGTAAAGTACCAAAGGCACGAATCGTCTGAGATGCAAAGTTACAACTGTGTCCAAACCAAATGCACAACGTGCAAGTTAAACTTCCAGCAGTGCCAGAATACCAAATATTAACCCGTATATTCCAAAGTTAAGAAAACCACGTGTGTGCTTAAGTGTGCCTACGCGCTAGGTGATGACAGAACTGGGAGCCTTGACCCTATGCACTCAATTAAGTAGGCGGCACTCGTAGGCAATATAGGCACTAGGCAATGATAAAACTAGGAATTTACACCGAGCACTTTCTGAACCTTATTTCACTACTATTACATCATATTATCGGGAGCTAGATGACCGCAGTACTTTCAGAACAAAGAGTGGTTAGCAAAAATATGATAAGGAAATGTGTCTTCATGGAGTATTGTGTGCGCTCAAAAAGTCAAAGTCAAATTCACATAATAGTTATCTCTTTCTTTCTACTTAGCATCCAGAAGGAATACTGTACATAGAAAGCTGTGTATATGCTAAAAAACAAATTCAAACCAAACAATATGTTGTAAATTTATTACTGAGCATATCATGTTTGCTCTATGCCACATTGCGTCAGTAAATTATACACAAACCAATAGTACTTACTCCAATTCTTGTCTAAGAGCATCAAACAGCTCCCTCTTGGTCTTTTTCTCAGCTCCAGGAGTCTTCAGAACTTTGCTTTGTTCCACCATCATCATAGTATTTTTCTTCATGTCCTCCTATAGAAATCCGATATGAGAAGATTTAGTGCCAATAAGCCAACTAAACCATTCCATTGATCAAGCCAATCTCGGTAAAAGCAATGCAAGGAAACTGTGATGAGAAACACATGTCTATAACATTGCTAAAATTCCATTGTTCAGAATTTATCCTGCCACGCTAAAATTCCCTAATGATCAGGGAAAAAAGACATTGCAACCATAATATGCTTCCGAGTGAGAAATGATTTTTTTTAATGAAAAGAAAGCGTGCTATGGCGAGATAGGCGCTGGGCAGTGGCAAAATGCAGAATTAACAGCTAAAGCTTCTGTTCCTTTTATTTTTCACGCACACCAGCAGTACAAAATGCTCGGAAGAAAAAAAAATCCATAGCTATGGCCATGGTGACGACTCTATTGTTCTCTGCTCTAGCCGCCGCTTTGCCATCAGAAACCAAACTACAGGGGACCTCGCCGCTGCGGCGCTGGCGAGCCACTGAGAGCAAAGTCACAAGCAGGAGCGAGAAGAGGATTGGAAAGAGGAAGGATGTGGGGGAGAAGCGAGCTGGAAGCATACGTCGGCCTTGAGCTGGGCCATGATCTTCATGCGGAGCGCGTCGACGGTGCCGTCGTTCTTCAGCGACTCCAGCACCTCCTCCGGCCGCACCACCTTCGACGACGACCCCATCCTCCTCCGCCCCCCAAATCAGTAAATCGCCGACCAACACCTCCTCCTCCTCAACGCTCGCGCTTCAGATTTGCAGCGGAACCGCTCCAGGAGAGCCCGCGAGGCCGCCCGGCGGTGCTGCTGAAGGGTCGCCGGAGACGCACGGCGGAGGCTAGGGTTGGGTTTCTTCCGCGGGGGAGAGGGCGGCCAGAGGGGAAGCGAAGAAGGAAAAGAAAAGTATCGTGTCTTTAATTGGAATCGGTCTCCTCTGCGGACCCAAATGACGAAACTGCCCCTCCTCCTCCCTCTGCTCTCGCCTCGCGCCGCCTCCCCGTCGCGAGCCCTGACACCGCCACCCGCGCGCCTCCTCGCCGTCGCCGCTGCGGGAGCAAGCGTCCAGGACGCAGTGATGTCAGCGGCCGCGACCGGGGATTACCCGTGCCCAGTGTCCCCGCCCTACCCGGCCGTCTCCAAGGACGTGGAGCTACGGCGCGCCTTGACGGCCTCCGCCCGCTCCGGTGCCTACTCCTCCGCCGCCGTCGTGTTCGAGGACGAGTGGCTCGCCGTGGTGGACAAGCCCGCCGGCGTCTACTGCGAGGCCCTCCTCTCCGCCCTCCCTTGCTCCACCGCCTCCTCAGGTACTGTACTTCAAACAGCTCTAGACAGATCGCGCCATTAGTTCGCAAGGACACAACAAAATACTCAGATGCTCGCCGCCTAGTAATTTCAAGAGCTGTTCATGCTGATGAAACGCAGGTTTGGTTGCTTTCTGCTTTGTGTACCACTGCAGCTTTGTACCCATGAGACTACCCATAATGGGGATTAACTTAGTAATGCATGCACTACTAGTCTATGTTACTAGTACTGTACCTTTATAGTGGGGAATAACATATGTGTGGTGTCATGCAACACTTCATTTATTAGCTTGTAGACTCATCTTGTCTTGGTATGTAAGGGTGTGTTTGGTTGCGGAATGAAGTGGAATGGAATGGAATAGTTCCATTCCACTGGAATGGGTCGGTTCCATTCCTGTGTTTAGTTGGAGGCAATACATGGAATGGAATGGTTACATTTCAGTGTTTGGTTGAAGAGATGGAACGTAATGGATTTGGTTCACTTTGGCAAGGTACATTCGCAAAGCATTATAAATATGACATCAAAGCTATCTGCAACTATTTCCTCTTGCACCAAAGCATTTCTTCAAGATGACCCTGTGGCTAAAAAACACATTTGTACAAGCAAAAGAAGAATCAATTTACAAAGAAGAATAAAAATATATGAAAAAAGAAAAAGAAGATAACAGTGCACATTATGACAAGGATGTAACTCTAAGTCCTAAAGCCACGGTCAAACTATGATTAAGATTTAAGAGCTCATGAACTCGTTGGCTGGTTGCCATTAGCGATCTGCCACTGCTCCTCTGCAGCCACTAGTCTCCTGAGTAAAGCTTCAGATCGGATGTTCGTTGAACAATACCACACCAGGCTCCTCTTCCCATATCCCTGCGTGTGGATGTACCATTAGGCCAGGTTGCTGCCATTAGCGATCTGCCACTGCTCCTCTGCCGCCCCCAACAAATCGGCCGCCTACTCACCGGCGAGTCAGGCCGCCGTCGCCGACCAGCACATCAGGTTGCCGCCTCCCACAAGCAGATCAGGCCGCCGCCGCTCCCCGGAAGATCTGGTCAACGCCACAAATTTGCAGCCGCCTCCCTGCAGGTCAGGCCGCCATCTAGGATTCTAGGGTGTGGCCGACGCCAGCAACCACCGGTTGCTACCCATTCCGCCGCCTAGATGGGAACGTTGTGGCTGTGAGAGAGCAACGGGAGGGAGGGGAGAGACGAGGCGGAGGCGGCTTGAGAGAGGAGACGCGACCGGTTCCGTGTGATTCCTCCTATTTGGAGGTATCGGCGGGTTCCGCATATCAGCCGAATATTCCCTCGGTGGGAACAACTTGATTCCCGCTCCAGCTATGTACCAAACGCAGGAACGAGGCCTAGTCACGGGTCCGACCCATGCCATTCTAGTTGGTGATCGAAACCAAACACACCCTAAGATGTTACTCGTAGTGTGAGTAACTAGCTATAGCTATGTTACTCAAATCATCTCTCTCCTTATTAAATCTCTGCCACATAAGCAAATTTGCTGAGTTGGACCTTATGTTACTGCTGAAGTTGCTCCCACTATGGGCAGTCTGAGATATTTAGTACTAATGCCAAATGATTGCTTCTTTAACGGTGCGTTTGGTTTTTGCCCCCTTGCATATGTGACCGGTTGGGTCTGGCGAGTGAATATAGGCTAAGAACCATGTTATGCACATCGTTGGTAGCCTGCATCCTCCCCAGCCTGGCTGCGAAGATACACACGCTCGGTGTTTGGTTGCACGTTTGTTCTGGGCAGATGCAGAGTGTGTGGTGTTTGGTTAGATGTAACACATGTTGTCTGGTAACCTTCTTTCGTGGTGAGGTTACCAGCACACTCACAAGCGTGACATAGATAAATAGGAATACCATATAGCCTTAAACCCGAGTCTTAAACACACAGTTAACCGCTAATAAACACTCGCAGCATAGTCTGAAACATCCGAAGCAGAAGTCTTAGGTGCAGAGATAACTTCTAGGCATCCATGGCAAAGGCCTCCTCGAGCTTCTTGCACTTGATAATCACCTTGACACCGTCGTCGTTGCAGATGATCACCTTTAGGGTGTTGGGAGTCGCCAGCTTGAAGGTGACGAGGTACCCAAACCTGATCTGGTGAACAAAGGGCGCCAACCCTTATCAAGGGTGAGCCTGCCGTTGATCATCCGGATTGTCACCCTCCAGGAGCAGTCGGTGCTCGTCTTCAGCTTGAATTCCTCTGGGACAGCGGTGAAGTGCTTGGTGAACCCTAGTGGCATCGGCTGACACTCCAGCTTGGGTGCAAGGATGACCTTGTAGAAGTGGGTTGGGCTAACATTCACATGGAAATGGCCGTAGTTCTTCGACCGCTTGGGGGCGCTGCCGAGCTCCACCACCGCCTTGGCCTTCTTGTCGGCCACAACCACCTCCTTGCCCTTGGAGTTCCCCGAAGCAGCCTGGTCGATCTGCATTATGAACATGATGAATGGAGGTCAATGGAGGGGCAAAATGCAACACACACATGAGCAAGATCAATGGAGGTATGCAGAAATGTTTGACCACAATTACCATAGTTGTTAACCAAAGATCAACACTCATTCATCCCACCTACCTACTCCAAAGCCTGTATTTATCTACCACCACATTCCACTACCTCTTCCAACCATCTCTCTCTCGTTGTCTTCTAATGTCTCCTCTTCCACAACTCTCTCTCTCTCTCTCTCTGTGTGTGTGTGTGTGTGTGCCACCACCGCTTTACCGCCATGAACCCCATCCCCAACGTCATTGGATGGAATCATGGAGGGCATTCCTCGTTGGGTTCTCGCTCGGTGAACGCACCAAATTCGTGAAGATCATGTAGGTGTGCTCTCAGTTAAAGAGCATTGACGACATGCATAAAGAGGCAGACATTGTGTTGTTCAAGGCGACGAAGGAGGAGTTGAAGACGCTAATACCTGGCCCAGCCAAAGGCGCTATGTCAGTGGACATACTGTGGTGGGTGATGGATGAGGCCAAGTCGGCCGATCCTGGTCAGAGAGCCAGATGGGCCAAGTACAGGCTTGTCAGGGCTCCTCGTGA